TGATGATGATGATGATGATGATGATGATGATGATGACGATGATGATGATGATGATGATGATGATGAAATTCCTGTGTACGGGAGAACCGGTAATTGTTGAAGGAAGAGAAACTGCCGAGGCAAGTTCCGAAGAACGAAACTAAAGTAGTAACGGTAGAGTAGGGAAAATGAAGCAACTCCCCGACGATGGGCTAGTGACTGCAGACTGGATGTTAGGGAAGGATCATGGATTAGCCGGATGGCCTTTCGTTGAACACGATCAAGAAGGGAAAGGGAAGAAGATGAAGCCCCACCCCACACGTAGCTACGGTATTCAAGGGAAGGGTGGATTTGAGCTTTGTACAATAGAAAAAGATTAGTTGGGGTGAAGAAACGTCTGGCGCAAAACCAAAATCAAACCTCACACGAGAAGCAAGTTTAACTATCAAAGGGGACTAACATAAAGAAGAAGTTATAGGCCATCCAAGAACGGAAATAGAGTGTGAAACGCATTTGAATGGAATCACAAAAAGAAATTGAAAGAAAGGGTTCTATGACTTGAATTAATCGTGGTTTGGAATGCCCCAAGCGGAGGTATGTCAAGATCGGAGTCCAGTGACACATCAACTTCACTACGGTCACCATAGATGTTGGTTTGGGCATGGCGAGTAATCCGGTAGGAGAGGGAGCAGTGGCGGGTGGCATCATCAGCCAGAGTATATGTATATATTATGCCCGTCCTATTGGAGTCATGTGTGGTTCGTCCAAGTCCCAAGACCTAGGTTGCTGTGTATAACGACGGGTCCACATGACTGTGGGGTTTACCCTTTCGCTATTAATCTCTCAAAGGTGCGTAAACAAAAATCCGTCTATGGTCTCAGATATTGGCTTTTGGCCACGACAAATATCTCGGTAGGATTTCTCCGATAGATGCTTTATGTGACCCGCTGCACGAGAACATTTCTTCGGACGAGATCTCATCTGGTCTCTGATTGACTAAGAGCCTTTCCAGGGCAGTGAAAGTAATCCATCCGGCCAGATAGATACCATAAGACTATTCAATTACGTAAATATATCTTCGTGATTAAAAAAAACACTAACTCGGAAAGTGAAGTGTCAACCATTCAAGTAAAACATCAATGTAAGTCATACCTGGTTTTGACTAAGAATCTTATGTGTTCTCTCCTCTAATGATTGCACCAATGGCCTACGTAATTTTTATTACGCTCACTTATATGATAAACAGTATTCCCCATAGTCACGAAGATCTGCATTTCAATGATGAAAACCGGTAATCTTAGCCCCGGAACTTCGAGTGACGAACCATAAGGTAGCACTAGGTTAAGCATGATATTTCATCACGACGAGACTGTACCTTGACGTGGTGTGATG